CGAGAGGTGAGCCCGGGCCCCGCCCGCACCCCGCACCCCGCGCCCGCGCCCCGGCCCGACCCCCGAGCCCCGAGCCGTGTGCCTCTGCCCTTTGCAGGAACGCGCTGATGTTCAACAACGAGCTCATGGCTGACGTCCACTTCATCGTGGGGCCCCCGGGAGCGGCCCGCAGGGTGCCCGCCCACAAGGTTGGTAGAGGCTTGGCCCTGTAAGCCCGCAGAGGCGACTGCCCACCGCCTGAGTAGGGGCTGCCCTGTACCCCGGGTGCGGCATCCGCTGGGGGCAGGGAGGGTCCGGGGCTCAGGGCAGCTCCTGTGTCATCCACAGTACGTCTTGGCCGTTGGGAGCTCTGTCTTCTATGCCATGTTTTATGGCGATTTGGCAGAAGTTAAGTCAGAAATCCACATCCCCGACGTGGAGCCCGCAGCCTTCCTAATCTTGTTAAAGTAAGTCTGCTGCACGAGTCCGCGAGGAGGGGGTGGCTCCTTGCTGCCTGGCTGCCGCCAGCGGGCACCCTGCAGCTTCTTGGGGGCATGCCCCACGCAGCCTGTGACACGGTCCCCGCCCCACCTAGGTACATGTACAGTGACGAGATCGATCTGGAAGCCGACACGGTGCTGGCCACTCTCTATGCTGCCAAGAAGTACATCGTGCCGGCACTAGCTAAAGCCTGTGTTAATTTCCTGGAGACCAGCCTGGAAGCCAAAAACGCTTGTGTCCTGCTGTCCCAGAGCCGGCTGTTTGAGGAGCCCGAGCTGACCCAGCGCTGCTGGGAGGTCATCGATGCTCAGGCGGAGATGGCTCTGAGGTCTGAAGGCTTCTGTGAGATTGACTGGCAGACGCTGGAGATCATCGTGACGCGGGAAGCCCTCAACGCCAAGGAGGCCGTGGTCTTCGAGGCCGTCCTGAGCTGGGCGGAAGCAGAGTGCAAGAGGCAGGGCCTGCCGGCCACCCCGCGCAACAAGAGGCACGTGCTGGGGCCCGTCCTCTACCTGGTCCGGATTCCGACCATGACCCTGGAGGAGTTCGCCAACGGCGCTGCCCAGTCGGACATCCTGACGCTGGAGGAGACCCACAGCATCTTCCTGTGGTACACAGCCGCCAACAAGCCCCTCCTCAGCTTCCCGCTGACCAAGAGGAAGGGCCTCGCCCCGCAGAGGTGCCACCGTTTCCAGTCCTCCGCCTACCGCAGCAACCAGTGGCGCTACCGCGGGCGCTGTGACAGCATCCAGTTTGCCGTGGACCGAAGGGTGTTCGTGGCAGGGCTGGGCTTGTACGGCTCCAGCTCCGGGAAGGCCGAGTACAGCGTGAAGATTGAACTGAAGCGGCTGGGGGTGGTGCTGGCTCAGAACCTGACCAAGTTTGTCTCGGACGGCTCCAGCAACACCTTCTCGGTCTGGTTTGAGCACCCCGTGCAGGTGGAGCAGGACACCTTCTACACGGCCAGCGCTGTCCTGGATGGCAGCGAGCTCAGCTACTTTGGGCAGGAAGGCATGACGGAAGTGCAGTGCGGGAAGGTGACCTTCCAGTTCCAGTGCTCCTCGGACAGCACCAACGGGACCGGGGTCCAGGGTGGGCAGATCCCAGAGCTCATCTTCTATGCCTGAGGTGGCACGGGTACGCCGCGAGGGGTGCTGGGAGGGGAAGGGACGTGCAGGAGGCCGTGATACCCCTTCACCCCCCGCCGACTGCCTCGCTGACGTCATTAAAGACCTTGCTTAGTTCGTGCGTCTCTTGTACGCGGTCGGCTGCGGCCAGAGCGGGGACACGCAGGCTGTGCTGCACAGCCACAGCCCTGCCCAGGTTTCGGAGTCCGGGCCGCTGGGCAGCTCTGGGGTTCCGAGACAGGCTTCGGGCCCCTCCCGGTGGTGCCCACGCTGCGTGCCCTGTGGGCTTCGCCGGCTCCCACCCTCACAGATTCAGAGTGGTACTACGCTTAACCTAAAACCTTCCCTTCAAAACCAAAATCGGAAGAAGCCACCTAACGTAGTCTTTCTAGCCGGGTCTCAGAGTTTCAGCAAGACGAGAGCCACCAGCAGGTGAACGTCCAAAGGAGCGTTAAGCCGGGCACGCGCTTTCCCACGTGTCTGTGGAGAGGGACTCCCTTCTAGCACACAGCAAACCCTCCTGTGCTGGTTAGAATCGAACGGCCTCCCTGGCAGGCCCCGTCTGTCCCTGAGCGTTGCCCTCTGCTGGCAAGCCGGGGTGGCTGCCACCACCGGGGCGTGCTTATTGCTTTAGAAGGCTCTGGAAAAAGCTGGGTGTGTGCTTGCGTCTGTACTTCCTAGAGCGTCGTAGCCTCTCACACAAAGTCCTGCTGTGAAGCTCAGATTTGAGGGGGGTAAAGTGGGGCTCTCTGCTGGGTCCACGCCTCCAGACCCTGAGCGCCAGTCTCCTGCCTCAGGCTCGGCAGCAGCTTCCCTGGCGGGCCCTGGATGGCCCCTGCCCAGGCGGGCTTTGGGGTTAAGCAGGCTCTTTGAGCCCCTTGTCTCTATTCTCCCAGGCCACACACTCTATTGGTGGTTGCTTTGTTTCTGAAAACAACCTTATCTTCACCTCCACAGGGAGGGACCGTGTCACTGGCCACAGGAATGTGGCCTCTCGGGGAGGGTCTGGGCTGGGAGCAGAGAGCCACAGCTGTGTGGCTACTCCATCCAGCAGCCCTTCTGGCCTCCGGGCCTGTCCTGCAAGACCCCCCCCCCCCC